CGGCGCCCCGGAAAAGTGCCCGCCAACACCTGACAGCCCTATTAGCAGGAAGGTTTTTGTCTTCTTTTTCTTTTAAAGGAGAAAATAACCTTAGAATGTTGGCTGCTGTATAAGGTGGCTGTTCCAAACCATCGGGGAATTCATGGGCCTCCTTCCACCTGGGTCGCCCAGCTTTCACAGTGGCTTTAAAATGGTGCACTTAGACTTTCGGCTTCCAACTGCCGAGGTCGAATTTTTACTGCAAGAGGCAGCCCGGCAGCACCAGATTTCGAATACGTTTAGACATCTGTGTTTATTCCAGGAATCCAAAGTTACTCAGGCTGCCCAAGTCAGTTTTGTCTTCCTGGTCCAAGGAGATACCCTCAGACAGGAAGTTGCTAAGATGTATGTATTGATTTTATAATCACTGTGTAATTACTGTGAGCCAAACGAAATTTCTTCAGCAGAAATTCTTCTGCAATCGACAATGAGTGGAAGGTTGTTGGTAGTTGGATGTGAATAGTATTGACACTGTTTACTAGCTGAGCAAACTTGTCCACGCCATGAACCTTCTTTTGGCCTCAGTTTTCTCATCTTTAAATTGGGGATAATAATGAATCAATGCTGGGAGGATGAAATGAATCAATGCTGATAAAAATCAGGGCTGGCTCAGAAACAAGCCCGGTATAAGTGCTGGCCATCTACAATATCAGTTTGAATAAAATGGAAGAGGACCTTATGCTGAAAACAACGCTTGTTGTTGTATACACAAGCTCCTGAAAAGTTGTGCTGACAGTGTTTGGGTCCAAGGAATGACCTTTCTAAGTAATCTCTAATTGTCTTTGGCTTCCCATAGGTTGTTTGCGAGACAATCAGTGATTTCTCCCTGAAAACAGCAGTTAGCCAAGGGCATAACTCATTAGGAAAACTGTTTAAGGAATCTTCTTTTTGAAAACTTTCAAGTGTAATTATTTGGAAGTTGAATAATTACAAGTGGCCTCTGTAAATGGCTTTTCACCTGTGCAAAGCCTTCCGCAGTGTCCACACTGCTTTTTAGT